CGGGGGAGGGCCCCCTCCGGGCGTTGCGCGTGCGCGTTGTCCCGACTTCGGCCTGGCGCCTGCTCACCTGTGCTGCACAGGCGGACCCCGCGCCCCTCTGCTGCGGCTCCCTGCTTCAAGCCCGCATCCGTGGATACTGCCTGGATGCGAGAGAATTCAAAGCAGGAAAAGAACACGATATAAAGGTGTGAGCGCAGCAGTGACTAATCACCACCTCTCAGCCACCCCCGCCTCCTACCCTGCGCGGGACAGCCCCGGAGTGAGGACCGGAGCGTGAAGGGAAAATAGCTCCCATGGCAACTGCTGCGTGAATTCTGATGGACAGGTGCTAGGAAGCTCCCAAGGAGGTAAAGACAGGGCCCATCATCTGCCTGCTCGCAAGATTCCCCCCCCCCAACCATGGTCACCGACTGGTGCTCTCAGGTAGAGGCCAGCTTGCACACGTGGATTCGTTGAGGGTCTATGTGCTGTGTCACTCTGAGGGACATTATTTATTTATTTATTTATTTATTTATTTATTTATTTATTTAATTTATTTTAGGTCTGCCCATCTGTAGCATGAATAGATGCAAGGGGATTTTCTTCAGCGCCACCCTGCCTTCCCTTCCGCCTGGGTCAGGTGAGGGGCTACACTGGGGCGGTAGGAACAACTTCCTCCAGCTTCTGCAGTGAATCAGTCCCAGGGAGTCCTGACTCGGTTACCAGTCCTGTACTTATCCGAGCCAGGTCCTCACAGTTGCAAATCGCTGGCATCAAAATTGCTGAAGTCAAGCGAGTAGTCATGGATTTCGGGGGAGGGTTCAGAGGAGGAGCACACGCCGCACTTGGTGTTTACAGCTCCTGACACCGTCAAGCAAAAGCCTGGAGGAATTTTTTTTTTTTTTTTTTTTAAAGCGATGCCTAATCGCGGTTGGCCAACTGTCTTCACCATCTTCACCGTCTTTCTGTGGGTGCTGGAATATGGAGACGTTTTGTCTGCTTCCTAGACAAAAATATAACATCAGAGGAATTTTAGTGATTATTCAGGGAAAACTAAAAAGATCTAGATTGAAGAGATTTGACACCATAAAAAGCACCAGCATTTTAAAATTGGGCAAAATTAACCTTTCTGTGTGGGAACAGAAGCAGCACAGGATAAGGGTGATGCACTGAGTTCAAATCTTGCCTGGGAAAGACATCTTCCCAGCACTATATTATTTCAGCAGTTCATTTAATGACTTATTTTTGGCATGCCAATGCAAACATAGCAAAAACTAATAAAAACGATTGTATGCTGCTTTCATTCCTGGTTGTCCCCTTACAGCCCTTCGGTCAATGCAGTGACTCAGCAAATCCCAGTCAGTTTTTTTTTTTTTTTTTTTTTTTTTTTTTTTTTAAACAGGGTCTCCCTTTGGC